CTGGGACCGCCGCAGCAGCCGCCACCGCTGCCGCCGCGCAGGGCGCGGGCGGGGCCCCAAAGAATAATTATTTAAAACTGCAGAATTCAGAAGTGAATTCATCAGTAATATGGGCTTTTCTTTGTTGGGAAACTATTCATTACTGATATAATCTCATCACTTGTTATTGGTCTATTTAGGTTTTCTCTTTTATACTGATTCAGCCTAGGTAACTTGCAGGTGTCCAGAAATTTGTCCACCTCATCTAGGTTTTCTAGTTTGTTGGCATATAGTCACTCAGTAATATACTTTTTTTGTATTTCTGACATATCAGTTATAAATTTGGGAAGTTTTTAGATAGCATATCATGAAAGAGATCGTCTGTCCTTTTACCCATCTCTTCCCATTCTGGAATACCCATTATGCAAATATTTGGCCATTAATAGGGTCTAAGGTTTCTCATATGTTTTCCTCATATTTTTTTGGCATAAGGCATATGTGCTTGTCAGAGAGAGAGAGACAGAGAGTGAGACAAAGAGGGTGAAAGTGAGAAATCATTCCCAGGGAGGATGGCCATGACACAATCACTTCTTCTCCATTCTCCTCTTGTGATTTTGGGCACACACACATATGCACCCAACACATATTCTTTGCCAGGCACTTTTCTAAATATTGGGGATACAAAAAAATGTATTTGAAGCAAAATATAAAATAAATAATTAACTTACACAGCTTTTAATTATTAATGGTTCTGATTTAACTTTATCCACATATTCTTCTGAAGCTAAGTTGGCAAATGTTCTCTCACTTTTATGAACATCAGAGGTGGAAGGGTTTTGTTTTGTTTTGTTTTGTTTTTGTTTTTGTTTTTGTTTTTTTCATGGCAGTCTTCTCATACAATCCCTCCCACCACCATTTCCTGTGTAATTAGCATGCTTCTTACACCAACCATCTCTGCCTATTTTAGTAAGAGGAATTCAGCCTATCACTAAGGTTTCTTCTACTTTGTAACGTGACTTTTTTTTTTTCAAGATTTTTGCTACAGGGTGGATATGCTCGCTGGAGAGGCTGAGAGAGACAGAGAGACAGAAAGTGAGAAATCATCCCCCAGAGGGGATGGCCATGTTGCAATCCCTTTTCCTCCATTTTCCTCTCAGGATTTTGGGCATGTACCCACACACGCCTGGCATCAGTTTTAAGTCACCGAGACCGGAACCCAAAACATGGTCGACTACATGGGAATTTAGTGATGTAACCATTATGCCATATGCTGGTCCACCTGTAACATGACTTTTTTCCCCTAAAATAAAGCTTTTAATTGTATACATGTTGTTATCAACATCTTTAAATATTATTTGAATATTGTGATTTAACAGGTCTAATAACTTGAATGTTCTTCCAAAAGTACATTTGAAATTGATATGCTAGTCTGAGTTAATTAAGTTACCACTCAGTTTTATCTTTTGAAGTGTTTTCCAAACGGGATTTTGCTCAATGATGTAAGCTTTAGCTGTGACCATTCTGTAGCAGATGCTATCTATGTATAGTTTGGAAGCAGTCTTAGCTACAGTGCATATCAGATTAATAGCATTTACTGTGTTATGTACTGAAATTATCTGTAAGTTGCTACCCAGGAATCTCTGCTGAATCCTGAACATTAGTTTCCATTCTTCAAGCCCATGGAAGGTGGCAGACAGAATCAAAAAAACTGTTTTGGTGAATATTAATAAACTTTTCAATTCTGGCTAAGACTGCTTCTTCAGCTGACATCAGACATTATTTAGTATCCATCAATAAAAATGCAACACCAGAAAGAGAAAATATAATTGCTCCATTTTCCACTGAATCTGAATACCAAACCTTGTGGCTTTGATTTTCTAGGCAGTCGCAACTTCACAACTCATAAGAGATGAACTCATAATAACAGTAGTTGTCCATTTTGTTTGTTCTTTTCCACTTGTTTCAGCCATCTGTCTTTCTTTGGATAAATCCTGGTGGCATGCCAGGGACCAGCCTTGGCAGGGGTGGGTTGACTTGTTGGAGGTGGCGCTGGAAGGAAAGACTAAGACCTCGGTGCCTTTTTTGTGCACGTCCTCAGTCAGACACTCTCAGAGATCGCTCCTGTAGAGTGACAATTGCTAGGAATTATTGTGCCTTTTTATTGAAAATGTTATACATGCAAGTAAATGGGTGAGGGGCTACATCTTCTAATTATCAGTTCATAAAGTTTTAACAATAGGGATCAGAGATTCCATTCAGGGTTGGATTAAGGACAGATCTATTATAGTTCAGCAATTGTTTGATTGAAGTAAGCAGGTTTTCGGGAACTTCAAGGAATGCAGTTTCGGGAAACAGCTCCATCAAATAGCGTTACTTATCGGCCAATGCCTGGCGGCAGCTGCCTTGTGATTACTAAGTACGATGCTAAGAAAAGGAAATCTCAAGTATAGGTATTAGTTCTTATGGATCTCAATAAAGAATGATACTTATATAGTTTTATAGGGATCTAAAACTTAATTCAAGGAATCCTAATATATCTATCTATTCTAAAGGGGTGAACCTATTGTTCACTTGGTGAGGTCAGGGATACTTTAAACAGCTTCTTCAACTGGCGGTACCAGATTTTCTTAAGTCAAAAGTAAAGTGACTACCAAGTTAATGAAAAACTTTAAAATGGGTTTGTGGTATACCTAAATGTTCTGTTGTGCCTGTGGAACCACTGTTATGTATTTTGTTAGAACATTAGCTACTGTGGGGCGAGAGTGTCCTGGGCTAGTTTTGGCCTAATCCTATTGTATATAAATAAAAGGTTATTTTTAAGCTTATGTTAAATGTGTCTTGAAGGGCCTTCCAAAGGTCAAGAAGATTTCTGCCTAGATGGAACTTCAGCACACCCTCCATTGTGACTGCAGGGATGAAGCATTGTAATTAACAGTAGGTTGTCAGGGCAAAGGGGAGCGGTCGGGGGGACTTTCAGGAAGTCTTACCACATACTCAAGATGTATGAGAGAGCTATGTAATTCTTTTATAGTAGTATATCAGGGAGTTGGGGTGGGGGGTCACTTCCCAGCAAGGCTTCTGCAGTCTCCGGAGCCTACAGCAAGTGGCCTTGCCAACATGCTGAGTCGACCCAAGCTTTGCTCATAGGTCTGGGGGCATACAGCAGCGGCCTTGCCAACGTGCTGAGCTGACCAAGGCTGTGCTCAAAGGTCGAGGGCTCAAACAGATCCTGGGGCACCGCCAGGTTGGACTCCTTCAGTGGCACAATCTTTAATTTACATTGAAGAAACCTGACAAACGCTACCTCAACCAGGTGGTCAGAAATCATGTTGATAGTATGGAGCCTGAATATGATGTTGACTTCTCAATAACCCATGTCCTTATTACTGGGTCCTTAGAGTCAGCTGGGCTGCTCCCAAACTTCCAGAACAGTCCTAACATGACTTTTTAAAGCAATACCCATTCATCCTTTCTCCCTCAATTTTCATCAGTGTCTAAAAATGTTAGAGACAAACCTGCTAGTAGGTAACTCTTACGTTTCTTCCTTTTCTCTGAAACTTTGACCTACCATGATGACCCTGATCAAGGAAGTCACTTCCTTAGCTAGATCTTTTAAAAATTCACAAGACGTGTATTTATTCCCTTTCTCAAGAATATGGGGGGCTTTTCTGAAGAATTTTTACTCTTTCTCGCTGGAGAGAGATACAGAGAAAAAAGGAGAGAGAGAAAATGAGACATCACCCCCTGGAGGGATGGCTGCACTGCAATTCCTTTTCCTCCATTCCCCTCTTGGGATTTTGGACATGCATGCACACGCATCCAGTATGAGTTTCAAGCCAGCAGGTCTGGGACTTGAACCTCAGTCAGCCATGTGGGAATCCAGCGCCTTAACCACTATACCACCTGCTGGCCCCATGAATGCAGATTTTAAAATGGAATTCAATTACCACTGCTGTAAGAAGTATCAAGCTTGCATTTCACAACCTATTGTAGCCCTTTACTAACAGAGACACATTTTTCTCTTTCTGAACCTTCTCAATACTTTTGAATAGGACAAAACAAAACACAGTAAAACAGTTTTTAATCTGTATTTACTCCTCAGTATTAAACAACCTGAACTCTGCAGGCAATTCCTCTCTTTTGGAATATGCAGACTTAGTTCAGCTAAGGAAGGAAGATTGAGCTTTTAGAAATAATTTGCTGGGATCCCAGAATAAGGATGTCAGCACCAGCCCAATACACTGTTCTTTCTAGTGGCCAAGCAGTGCTGTCCTTAGACCTTAGCTGAGGGCCTTCTCTGAGAACTTCATAATTCTGCTATTTCCTCGATTGAGATCTCAGCCATTAAGGGGACTCAGATGCAAGGACTCAGAGATCGGTGTGGCCCATAACATATCCAGGCAGTATGTGGGAGCATAAAGGAATAAAATGACCCAACACCAGCTTTAACCTGCTCCTTCAGTGTAGAACAAAGATTGGGGTAATGAGAGAGGTAACTTGAAGGTAACTGACATGCACAAACCCTTTGTATCCCCTCAGGAGCTATTCCCATTCTCCTTATACCCTACTTTCTGGTGTTCACTAAATTCTGGTCCTTGGCTGTGCTCTCCTTAGCCTGGCTCGCTTATGATTGGAACACCCACAGTCAAGGTAAGAGATAGAGGAAGAACGGTGGTCGTGTCTGTGCCAAGAATGGAATTGCAGGGAGAGGGGCATGGAGAGAGAGATGGGGAGATGTAAAGGAGAGAGAGGGGAGAGCAAAACCTTTTAGGGACAGAGGTTTCTGCCAACTCTTCCAGAGATCATTAATCATTAGGTTTCTGGACAGATGCCTCCAGTCACAATCTGTTTCTATATCTCCTTCCCACTCCAGAGGAACAGGGGATTCCTATGTCTTGGGGATTGGGTTAAGAAACAGTATCTATAGTTCTTAGGTCTGAGGAGGAAGCACCTCCTGTGGATGAAAATTGTAGGCAGAACTCTCCACGTTTGGAGAGGTAGAGACACTTGGCAATGCCCCATCTGCCCTTCTCTTTTCTTCTGTACCCACAGGTGGTAGGCGTTCAGCTTGGGTACGAAATTGGACCCTCTGGAAGTATTTCCAAAAGCACTTCCCAATAAAGGTGACTATCTCTCCTCTGGGGTGTCCTCTGTCCCTGTTACCCAGACTCTCAACTCCATGTTTTCAAAGGCTTTAGTGACCAGCGGTGTATGTCAAAGGCCCAGAGAGGTAATGCAGGGGAAGGGTACAAGATAGGTGGTCAGTTGGGAAGACAAATGGGTAGCAGCTTCTTCCAAGGCAAAAAACACAGGTCAGCCTCTATGACCATCACTATCCCTGGCAATCCTATGACATTGATGACATCACAATTAACAGAGATTTGGGGCTTCCAGAGGGAAATATAGCCTTCCTGCTGGAGTCTGCGTTCACATGTTCTCTTTTCCTTCTTCCTAACAATTGCTGTGATTCTATCTCCCTCTAACAGCTGGTGAAGACTCATGACCTTTCTCCCAAACACAACTATATCATTGCCAACCACCCACATGGTATTGTCTCTTATGGTGTCTTCATCAACTTTGCCACTGAGGCCACTGGCTTTTCTCAGATTTTCCCATCCATAACTCCCTTTTTAGGGACTTTGGAAGGGATCTTCTGGATCCCAATTGTGCGAGAATATGTGATGTCAATGGGTGAGTATAAGAAATTACTCCATTCTTTGACCTACTTCAGGATCGTAACCCAATAAATACTGACAGAATCCCAGCTGGAGGAAAACTTTGTAGAAAGTGAATACAGAGCATGGTGGACCAATAACAAGAGTTTGTGGCCAAGCAACAGGTTCTATCCAAGATCTGGGAGGTGGAGTTCAGTTGGGAAGCAGGAGAAATAGGTATTTATAAGAGTCAGTGGGATTTTTTTCAGAGGAGGAACCAGAAGGCTGGAACTCAGGATCAAAACAAAAATAGAAAGCATAAGGAAAAAGCCAATTTTAAACACAAATACAGGAAAAATCAGGCATGAACAGGGTAGCTGAAACAAATTTTACCAGATTCTTTCTGGGATATCCATTGGTTTCTTTGTACAGCAGAGTAGCTCCCATCCCAGTGTCATAAAGTCTCTCCTACTAATCCATGTTCTTTACCTCCTGGGAACTCTTTAACCCTTGCATAATGTAGCTAGGAATAAAGGATAGATATGCACCCATCAGAATCCAGGGCAAATTTCACATGACAGGCTTCAAGTCAGAGCACTGTGACAATAACCTTCTCCATGAATAGACATTTATCTTTCTGGACACCAGAAAACAACTGAAAGCAAACATAAAAAGTAAGATACATTTATCTGAAGGAGTCACTTGGGACCACTAGAGTCCCTAAGGATGCTTCTGTGCCCCTCTGAGGTTGGCTTGACCCTGGAGCAGGATTGTCTCTCAAAGCTAGAGCTTGGAAGTAATATTCTGCCACCTTGGTAGAGAATAGAAGGTGAAGGCAGAACAAAGACTGTACACAACATGATGAAAGACTCTGATTATTGTTAAACAACAGAATGTCATCCACATCTTATCATTTGTCTCCATCTTGATTTGTCTTGGGTGGGTTCCCAGGCCTTCCTACTCTCCAGAAATCTTAGCCAATATCTTCCCTTTAACACATTGCTCTTAGGGAGGAAGTAGCTTAGTGGTGGCAAGTCCCAATAACCCGAAGGGAGAGAGTTCTGAAGGTTCTCTAGTGCTGTCATACTGGGCAGAGAGGAAGAAGCTGTGGTTCTCCGGTAGAGTGGGAAGAGCTAGACTTAAATACTATTGATCTGAAGATAGTAGGTTATTGATGAAGTAGTCAGAGGAATTCAGGATAGTCCCAACTATAGTATTAAATACTCCAGACAAGCAGCTCACCTTATAGACCAACCTCAGGCTAGAGCTAACCTGAAATATAGAGGTTAAAGGTAGAAAGAAAGCAATAGTCACTAAACAGCAGAACTGTATCCAGCAGAGAGAATCTGGAGGAACTCCTCACCCACCCTATCCTCAGGCACCATGTTTGTTCTACCATTTGATTCTTTGTTTTCACAGGTGTGTGCCCAGTGAGTAAGTTGGCCTTGAAGTATGTGCTGACCCAGAAAGGCTCAGGCAATGCCATAATTATTGTGGTGGGTGGAGCTACTGAAGCCCTCTTGTGCCATCCAGGAGCCTCCACCATCTACCTCAAAAAGCGTAAAGGTTTTGTAAAGTTGGCACTGAAGACAGGGTAGGTTCTGGTATTTTCTTGTCAAGTGTATAGGCCATCTATAGCCCTCTCCAGAATGGTGCCCTCTTGGGGAAACATGTAATAGGGGGTCCTTTTTTTTTTACCCTAATTGCTTCTCTCTACCCCTTAACACAGTGTTTTGAGGCTTTTTGGGTCTCCAGATATATTTGAGGGGAGCACTTTTCTTATTTGAAGTTAGACAAAGAACAGCAGCAGACCTTCTGGTTTCTGCCTATTAGCCTAGTAGTCTATGGGCTTGGGAAAGTAAGAGTTCACTCCATAACAATCTACTGACTAAAAAGTCCTGAGAACCTACCAAGAAAAAGAAAGACACTGGCCTTGATTAAATGAAGGTGAATAAGAAATGAAGAAGAATAAGACATGCCCCCCAAAGAGTGTACAATCTGGTTTAAGAAGTAGAACACATTTGTTCAGCAGTTACCAAATACCTACTGTGTGTAAGGCATAGTACTAGGCATAGTACAGGCCCTAAAACAGTGCAGTCATGTAGAAAGTACTTACCGAATGAAGTGCTATAATGGAGATGTGTGCAAAACACTGTGGTAGAAAAAAAAAACACTGTGGTAGCACCACTTTATAGACTAGACCTTGACTCAGAGTAGAGATTTCATAAGTGGATGACATATGAAATGTGAATTGAAATATCATGAGGAGTTGCCAGTCAGATCAAAAGGGAAAAAGAATTTAGGCATTCTGAGAGAACCTATGACATGTCAGGCTCTACAACCAGGCCCCAGGGACTCAAATATTAATGAGACACAAGTCCCACATTTGGTCTGCTGTCTACTGAAAGAGTCAGATAGGCGAGGAGAAGACTCTAATACAGAGTTGGAGCAGTATTAGTGCAGGAGAAGGTTAAGTACTAGATGAGTGGTGCCTAGCCCACATTGGGGGAACTGGAGGTGGACATAGAAGGTTTCTTCGGGGGGTGACATTTAAACTGAGTATTGAAGAGAAAAATTGAACTAGCTTCTAGAAGACAGAGGGAAGGTACAGTGGGAGCAGAATGCACAGACACATAGATGAGAAAGAACTTGGTACACCTGGTATGACTTCAAGGAAGAAGTGGGGAAGGGAAGCTAGCCAGATAAAGAGGGTTGGAGCATTAAGGCCATGCTAGGCAACATGGAGGAGCTCTGGAAGAGTCTTAAAGAGAGGAGTGACATGTCCAGACATGCAGTTTAGGAAGATCACTCTGGATTCTTGATATAATAAAGGCAGTTAGATCTCTTGAGATTAATTTCTTTCCAGCAGAGGACAAGGCACAGCAGCTCTCTTGAGAGAGTTCAGTTGAGAGGATTGTGCATGGCAGGAACGGGACACAACACTGGAGATGTTTGGGTGATGGAGGTCTTGGCCTATAATGGGGATATTGGCAAGGTTTCTCACCTTGGAGAGGGTTTTGCTAGGGCAGTTTCCTTAGAAAGCTCATACTTATGATCCTCTCTTTTTAGGGCATACCTTGTCCCTTCCTATTCCTTTGGCGAGAATGAGGTTCACAATCAGTTGACTTTTCCTGAAGGCTCATGGAAAAGGTTCCTCCAAAACATCTTCCAGTACACCGGCAAAAAAATCCTGGGACTAAACTTCTGTATCTTTCATGGTCGGGGCCTCACTCGTGGATCCTGGGGCTTCCTGCCTTTCAATAGGCCAATTACCACTGTAGGTAAGCTTTCCAGCATCCCTGGACCACCCCAGTCCTGGATCCCAACCCTTACCAAATCATCCATCAAGTCTCAGGGAATTTGGCGTACAGCTGGAATGGGTAATGGGAATTACACTGGATGTGGTTGAGAGCTGGGAGGAGAGGTCATCTAAATAGATAAGAGTTGTGGCTGTTCATTTGTGGGACAGCTGCCATAAAAGCATCATTATTCACACACACACACACACACACACACACACACACACACACACTCCTTCAGCACTCTTATGTGCTTGCTCATTTTTTTTTCAAGCATAGGTTATATCAGATGATCAGAAAATGAGGGCCAGAATGGAGCTGGAGCAGAGGGAAAAGATGAAGAAAGAAGAGGGAACCCAAATTCCATGTTTTAGTGTGTGATCCTCAGTGAGAGATGGGTAATTTGAGTTGAAGGGGGGAAACTCTGATGCTTATCTCTTCTCTTTCTCCATAGTTGGAGAACCCCTGCCAGTTCCCAAGATTAAGAAGCCAAACAAGAAGACCGTGGATGAGTACCATGCCCTCTACATCAGTGCTTTGTGCAAGCTGTTTGATCAACACAAAGTTGAATATGGCCTCCCTGAGACCCAGAAGCTGACAATCCTATAACAGGGACCATTTTCCCTTTACTAAATCCCCAATGCCATAAGAAATCCATGTAAAGCCACAGGGAAAAAAGAATTGGAGGAAAGGGGAGGATTTCAAGGATGAAAGGGGAGGCCAAACAAGCAGGAAGTACTTAATGAATTGGGGTTTCAGTAATGGAATTATCTCCCAAATGGCCAAAGCAGATTTGGAGGAAGGAACCAAAAGTGAGGGGAGGACTGGAGAGAGCTAGCTAGAAAAGTAAGTGACTACATCACTCCTAGTTATTCTAGGGTATCAACCCAGTTTGAGAGTCTAGTGAGCCAGTCCAGCTAACTGTCTGATCAGTGTAATGAGAAGCAAAAGAACACTGTGCCCCTTATTCTTGAACCTTAATGACACTAGCATTATTTAGGTTAGGCTTAGAAGCGTTATTTAGATCAGGGATGGTTTGTTTCCTCTCGAGCTCTTTCCTTACAATTTTGGGACTGTCACGATGTAAACCAGGGACTTAAATTTCATGACCCCTGCTGACAAGATTCCTTCAGTTGCAACAGAGTTCTAGACTGGCAATGCAGTTACGATTTCCTCTATCAAAATAAAATTCTAAATATATAAAACAGTATATGACTATTTCCTAATTATACTGTGGTTTACTAATAGGCTTCCTTCAAATCTAATATTTTCCCTTCTAACCAGAAAGCTGGTCTGCGAAGAGCCATTTTCCTCTTCTATTAATACTGCCCCTGACAGAAAAGGTAAGAGAACAAAACCACAGCTTCTACACAGTATAAGAGACAGGAGTACAACCATGGAGACAATAACGAGTATCTACTGAGTTATCCTCCTTCTCTGATACCACATAATCCTGGGTCAGAGGGAAGGGATACACAAGACTATGTACCAGGTATAAGTTTGCCTGATGTCAAGTCCCATGGACTATGTCATTACTTTCACAAGTTTTGTCTCTTACTGATAACACCAGCCCAGTGAGATTGAGATCAGCATAATCTCCATTTCATAATAGCCAAACCTTCTAGAGGTTAAACAACGTACCCAAAGCTATGAAATTTTGGGTAGCACTTGCATCCAAACCCAGGTCTTACTAATTTGAAATCAAAGTGAACTCCAATGCATGACAACATTTTCTATTTCTCATTTTCTGGAGACCTATTTATCTCCTTCATTTTTCTTTCTTCTCTTTCTTTCTTTTTTTTTTCAGAGAGATTTTTGCTATAGTGTGTGTGCACTTGCCAGAGAGACAGAGGAGAGACAGAAAAGCAGAAAGCAAGGAATTACGCCCCACCCCCACCCCCGGGAAGGATGGCCACACTGCGATCCTTTCTCCTCCATTCTCCTCTTAGGATTTTGAGCATGCACACACACACACACACACACACATGATGTGAGTTTAAACTACTGGGTCCAGGACTCAAACCATGGTCAACTATGTGGGAGTCCAACAACGTAGGCAATGTAACCATTATGCAGTCTGCTGGCCTCTCTGCTTCATTTTTCTAAATGAGGTTCCATTGCATTCCACAAAAATGGCATGGATTTTATTCATAATAGTCCCAGGTTAGGCCTCATACAAAATAATTAATTAAAAAAACCTTTTTTATATCAAGGCCAGCAGGTGAAATGGTGATTAGAGGCTCTGGACTCCCACATGGCCGACTGAGGCTAAAGTCCCAGACCTGGCAGCTTGCTTTACCCCTTTCTCTCTCTCTCTCTCTCTCTCTCTCCTCTCTCTCTCTCTCTCTCTCTCTCTCTCTCTCTCTCTCTCTCTCTTTTTCTCTCTCCTTCTCTGATCAAATTAAAATAAATAAAATAAAGTAAAATAAAATAATTTTTAAAAACTTTTTACATCAATAAATTGGATTTAAGAATACAGAAACAAACTTACACATTTATGGTCAATTGATTTTCACCAAGGGGAAAAGAATAGTCTTTTCAATAAATGATGTTGTGTCAATTGAATATCTACATGGAAAAGAATGAACTTGGACTCTTATCTCACACCACATACAAAAATTAACTCAAAATGGATCAAAGCAAAGTAAAACAATTAAGCTCTCAGATGAAAACATAGGTGTAAAACTTTATGATCTTGGATTAGGCAATGATTTCACAGATATGACACCAGAAGCTCAAGCAACATCAACAAAAACAACAAAATAGGTAAGTTGGTCTCCATTCAAATTAAATACTTTTGTGCTTCAAAGAATAATATTAAGAAAGTGAAAAGACAGCTCATGGAAAGGAAAAAAAATATTTGTAAATCATGTATCTGGTAATAGTCTAGTAGCCAGAATATATAAATAACTCTTACAACTCTGCAACTAAAGGGCAACTCATTTTTTTAATTTTCAAAGTTTTTTCATAGACTTTTTTCAAAAAAGATGTATAAATAAAAAGTGCTCAAAACCATTAATCATCAGAGAAATGAAAATTAAAACCACCATGATACTTTTTTTTTTATTTATTTTTTTTTGAGAGGTTTTCGCTATAGGGCGCGTGCGCTCGCCAGACAGACAGAGAGAGACATAGAGACAGAAAGCGAGAAATCACCCCCCAGGGGGGATGGTCACGCCGCAATCCCTTCTCCTCCATTCTCCTCTCGGGATCTTAGGCACGCACGCACACGCGCCCGGCGTGAGATTTAAGCCACCGGGTCCGAGACGCGAACCGCGGTCGACTACGTGGGAGTCCAGCGACATAGCCATTACGCTAACTGCTGGTTCCCCCATGATACTTTTTAACACCCAAAGATAGACAATAACAACTGTTAGGATGTGGAAAAATTGGAACCCTCAGGAATTGGTGGATGAGAATGTAAAGTGGTGCAGCCACTTCAAAAACAATTTGGCAATACTTCAATAAATTAAGCATAGAGTTACCATGCGACCCAGGAATTCTACTCTTCAGTACATACCCAAAGAATTTAAGACATATGGCCACATGAAAACTTGTACATAGATTACCAGAGCAGAATTATTCATAATAGCAAAAATATGGAAATAGACTTCCATCTTCAGACCCCTGGCATAAGGGGCATGGAGGCAGGGCTCCCCACCCCAACTCCAGCCCCAGGACTCCCAAGTCAGAGACCCCATCTCTGTCAGCCAGGAGTGCTCTCAGCTCTACAGCCACCCCACTTCCATCTTCAGACCTCTGGCATAAGGAACACTGAGGCAGGGCTCCCTGCCCCAGCTCCAGCCCCAGGACCCCCAAGCCAGAGACCCCTATCTCTGTCAGTAAGGTAGGCATTTTGTTTTCCTTCCCCTCTTCTTTTATTTGTAAATTTCTCACTTCTCCTTACCACACAGGAGTGCACTCAGCTCTACAGCCACCCCACTTCCATCTTCAGACCCCGGTGACTTTGTCTTTATTCTCCTTATTATTTTCTTCCCACTAATTTGGTCGTATCTTCCTTTATCTCCACCCTCCTGGACAGTCTAGATAGCTCTAAAATTACAGTTCTGAAATATTCTAGTATTTTAAGATTCTCTGGGGTTTTCCCTTTTACTGAACCACCTGTGAAAAAGGAGATACTTTTCTTCATACACTTGAACCTCTTTGGATCACATCGCTAAACACAAGAGAAGAGAGACTTCGGCAGTCTTCAGTCCATAGCAAAAGGGAAACACACTTGCTCCTGTTCAAGGAAACATTCTCTTAAAAGGTATTCCAAAGTGAACACATCTCCCAATTGTTAGAAGTAGAAGAAGAGCCTCATGTCTGAATAAAGCAGGAAATATGTCTCCATCAAAAAGAACACAGTGACTACCTTCCATTTCTTGAACAAACAGAGGACTGTTACCAAAATGTCAGAGAAAGAATTTAGAACATAAATGGTGACAAAACTCTATGAGTTGGAACAGAAAAGAGACAACAAGCTATAGGATATTAGAAAGTCCTTCTATGATACAAAAGAAGAAATGGACATTCTAAGAAAGAATCAGGGGACCAGCAGTTGCGTAATGGCTATGTTGCTGGACAACCATGTAGTCGAACGCAGAGTCCTGGACCCGGTGGCTTAAACTCATGCCAGGTGTGTGTGTTGCATGCCCAAGAACCCAAGAGGAGAATGGAGGAGAAGGGATTGTGGCATGACCATCCCCCTGGGGGGTGAATTCTCACTTTCTCTCTCTCTGGTGAGCACATATGCCCT